CATCCCTTATCCCCCAAATCCTCCCCCCTCACGCCTCCCCAGTAATCCAAACACAGTTACCCTCTCGGAAAACCGAGAAATGACTGGCGCTGGGCTGTGTGGACGGCTCCGTGGGATGGCCAAGTACCAGCCAATGAATGAAGAGCGCTTGAAGCACTTGTCTGCCCGGGCCTCTCCAAACTGATTTGTCTCCCCCCTCCTTAGTTACAGCTATTGATCGGTGCGCGATTACCCCGTGCTCTATCCGCACCCCGCAAGTTTGGCCACAGTGTTCTCCAAACTCGGCCTTTCTCTTCATTTCTTGAGGGGATTTAGAGCCTAGCTAGAGTTTCCGGAACTTTCGAAGACAGATCTCCATCTTTAGTTTCAGTTTTTAATTATTCCATCTAGAGGTTCTGGAGTTTTCGTAGACGTATTAATTTGTGGTGTTTCCTGGATTTCTAGATGACGTGTTCCAATTAGAATGTATTTATCAGGTGATTAGTGGATCCTGTTTAACCCCCATCTTTAGCTTGAGTTTTTTAAAATTATTCCATCGCACAAAACCTCGGATTTGCACTACAAGATGGCGAACTGATAACTTTCCGCAAATACGTTACTCAATTCAGTGTAGTGGTTGATTTGAAGTTTCTTTAAGCTTTGTTTTATTTATAACGAATGCAATTCGGTGTGATTTTTTTTAAAAATAGCCATTGGAAGACCGTAACGATGAGCAGTATACGTTATCTAGAAAAGTGTCGTGTCGCAGTGTTACAAAGAGAGGGGTAGGACGCCTGAGCTGAAACGTGCGAGTGCGAGAAACAAACTTTCCCTGATGAAGTTACTTGGAACTGGAGATTCAGTCAACAATATCATGAACAGAAAGTAACCTATAGAGTTTGATAACAATATTATTGTCTTGAAAGCTATATCAACAAATCTCTGTATTTTGGACGTTGTGGAACAGAAATAGACAACAGTACACTCCTACCAAAACTTGTAGCCTCAAACGCCCAAAAAATAACGCTCTGTCTCTTGAGAGTTGAGGAACTGAAACACTCTAGTATTTTTAATACCAAGGAAAAAAGGAGAGCTCGAGTGGGCTCAACAAAGATGGACTTCAGGCAAGTTCCGCACAAACAAGACATGACGTCACACCAGCACTCTCATCACGGAGCAGAAGATCTTTCCCAAGACAGATTTCTGCTGTCCTCAACAACCCAAGCCAAACAGTCCGATTTCAGGTACGTGGGTGGTCGGCGGGTGTTTTGGTGGGGATTTATCATTCTTTCTTATCAAACATCTATCTTCTTTATCTTTCCTTGTTCTTTTCTTTTTATGTTACTTTCTTGTAATATCTTGTATCTTTGGCATTTATGTGAACTAATGGTGTTGCAAGTGCCGCACTACTTATTCCAAAACAATTTCAGACAGGTATTCAGATCTTCTTCTTCTTCTTCTTCTTCTTCTTCTTCTTCTTCTTCTTCTTCTTCTTCTGCAACTTTAAAGTGCCAGATCTGAAACAGACACCAGGGGTCAATGTTTGCCACTTACTTGATTTGCTTGGATGCTATTACAAAATCCCCAAATTACCCTGGTTCTTTCCCGTCACCCATCTGCTCAAGTTTTCTACGTTTGTTTGTTTTGTTTAGGTTGTTTTTTTTGGGGGGGGTTTTTTGGGGGGGGGTTGGTTGGGGTTTTTTGGTGGTTTTTGTGTGTGGTTTTTTTTTGGTGAGGGGGGGCTACCTCTGCCTCTTTTTTTTTTTTTTTTTTTTGCTTTATAGCTAGCTTTCCAGTAAGAGAGAGAGAGAGAGAGAGAGAGAGAGAGAGAGAGAGAGAGAGAGAGAGAGAGAGAGAGAGACAGAGACAGAGACAGAGACAGACAGACAGACAGACAGACAGACAGACAGACAGACAGACAGACAGACAGACAGACAGAGAATGTTCATAGCCTTTATCACAGAAACTCGACTATAAATGAAGGGGTAAGTTCAAAAAGTGATTACATCTTATTATATTGTTTTTAAAAAATAAAGACTTTAACAAACAAGCATGACGACATATCACTGACAAGTGGAAGCGGGCGCCATTAATGAGGATTATAAACGTTTTACGCCCAGCACTATTCAGTATAGGCGATTTTGGAAGCGGGCTGTTTCGACTTTGTCAAGGTAAACTAAGGCTGGTTGGGAGGTAGTATCCCAGCAGTCAGACAGAGATAACTCTGTCACGACACCTTGAAATCAGGCGCTAATTTTTTTATTTTTATTTATTTATTTTTTTTTTTTAGTGGGGGGGGGGGGGGGGGCAACTGTTTTACGGCGCTCGCAACTGCATAAGGTAATATGAGCGCGCGGGATGCATTTAGCATTTTCAGTTGGTATGGAAATTTTGAATTTTGCCCGGGTGGCGGCGGAAGCCTAGTCTTATCGATTTTTCAACACTAAGAGATCTTTAATGTGCGCAATTTGCACACGGGACCTCCAAGATTTTTCGTCTTTGCCCTAGAAGGTTCGGTGTAGATCTTTCCTACCACGAGATCAGGGGTGTGGCTGAAAGACAGCAGTAAAAAGAAGCCTGGGAGGAGCTGTATAAAGGCCGCAGAAAGAGTCAGGAGCCCAGAGAAGGGGGCAAAGAAGGTGAGGGGGTGTGGGGCAGAAAGTGGAGACGAAAGCAGACGACAGAGCATTGCTGGAGAGCAGGAAAGGAGGTGAAAGGAGACAATTTTTTAGAAGAAAAATTTCCGTCGCTATCCGGATTCGAACCCGGGACCTTTTGAATGAAAGGCGAATACTTTAACATCTAGGCTATGAGAACCCCTGGCGCTAATCAGTTTTGGGTCTAACGGGGTTCCTGGTATCATAATAAAGCTTGTTTGTTGGCCATGCTTTTGGTGAAAATATCATTATATCTTGAATAGAAGTCGAAATATTTACGATTGAGGGAGATTGGGGTCCCCTTGTGTCAGAGGTAAAATAAGCGAGAAAATGGCCGCCTAAGTTTGGTGTCTTCCAAAGCTTGAGTGTCCTTGAAAACTGTAATTTTACGTTTTTCCGTGGCTTTGATCAATGTTTTTCAGTATAATTCACCCAGAAATATGTTTTTAAATGGAGGAAAAAAAGATGTTGAACTAAAAATAAAATCGATTACAATTCCTAACCGGCTGAAAAATGTTGGTTTCATCTGTTTCATTGTTTCGACGACCGCGCGATTTCACCACGATGCCACGTTCAGATAAATTATAGTAAACCGTTGCGTTATCCTAAAAAAAAGTATCATTCTGTCTTTTCTTTTCATAAATCTAACCTTTGTTCCCATGGGAACACCTACAAGCTCATTTGTATTTACTCTCACCCTCGTACACTAATGTTCATACAATCACATTTATGGCAACTATCATAAAAAGGCAAAGATGTCAGATGGAATTACTGCCTTTAATTCCCGTAAACGTCTGTATTTTGTAATTGTGGTAGGTATAGTTCTGATAGATCTGAGACAACGCGGGGTCATAGAATATAGATTCTATGACAGTGCATGAAAGATGATAAGATAAGATAAAATAAGATAGGATGAGATGATATGAGATGAGATGTGATGAGATGGGATAAACTTCTTATATTCATGAGGGGCATGGTGGGTGGATATACCAGAAACACCAACTTGCAAAGATTCGGCATAAACGCAGAAATCCACTTCTTACATTCATGTTCAAAGGCAAAAGGAAATGCAGGCTTTAGATAACAATATTATGTTAGTTTGGTGAAAAATATTCACAAGATTTACAGTTGTATTTGAAAGGGTCAAGTGACAAACAGGATAAATCCATGTAAGAAGAAGTCAGAGCACTAGTCCTAACTTCCAACACTATCTGTAAATTGTCCATATGAGATCAGTCAAGTGAAAAGCCAGCTGTGTCACTCACCAGTCACAAACTGAATTTTCATCTAAATAAATCGAGCTAAGAACAAGTGGAGTCCAGTATTTTAGAAATCGTAAAATAAGATAGGTTTTGGTTTCATTCATGTGATTTACCCTGGGGTTTTTGTTTCGTTTGTTTTGTTTTCCTTCCCCTTCACGCCTTCAACTACTACCTGTATTGTGTTTCAGCGACCCGGACAGTGGGGATGAGGACTCCATACACAGCCGGAGACAGCTCGAAGCTCACCACCATCTCAAACTGGCGGGAACAACAACAACGACAACAGCAACAGCCGCAGCAACAGCCGCAGCAGCAGCAGACAGCATGAGTCAGTTCGAGGCAAAGCTGGAGGACGCGATGACGTCACGCGGCGAGTTCCCGCCCGGTTCGCCGTACGTGGACGAGGCGTCGTACTCAAGCACAGACGACTGCAAGGACCTGGCCATGCTCGAACAGGAGTACCACGGGCACGAGATGGACGGGAAGACCAAGACCAAGAAATCGGGCTCCGGTCAAAAGATCGTGCGCTTGAACATCAACTCACGCGAGCGGAGACGAATGCACGACCTGAACGACGCACTAGATGAGCTGAGGTCGGTGATCCCTTACGCTCACAGCCCTTCTGTCAGGAAACTCAGCAAGATAGCCACCCTCCTATTGGCCAAGAACTATATCCTCATGCAGGCGCACGCGCTAGAGGAGATGAGGAGGATCATCGCCTACCTCAACCACCACTCTTCCATCAGTGCGGCGGCCGTGGATGCGATCCCTTACCCTCACCTGAGCCAGGCTAGCCCTGTGTCGCCGAGAACGCCAGCCAGACCAGGAGACAGGGACTTGCAGTAGCAGCCGCGCAGGGTCCTGACTCAGACAGATGAACCGAACTGACAGTGTGCGCTGGATATTACATGTATTATTAGCGCTGATACAATCTCTGGAACTATGCCCACATCGGACAAGTTTTGGTACAGAAAAGTGTGGAGAAGGAGAAGGGTGAATGGGAATAAAGAAGGACCTTGGGGGAGGGGGGAGGGGGGAGGTTGTTATTAAAATTAGATGATGGGACTGCTCAAGCTGCATTATTGTATATCTTTTCCTTCTGAAGAGCGAATGCTCACTTTAAATAGAAAGTTAAACTAATAGTAGAGGTATTTTTACTCTCCCTTTGACACAATTTAGACCATAAGAGGCGGACGTCCTACCCCGCCTGTCATGGTCAACACGAGCTTAGATTCGAGGGATATAATTATCGTCCCAGGAGAAAGACCGAAGTACTCGATAAAAATCCTCCCCACTCGGGGAATTTAACTCGGGTCTCCTGCATGTGGCAGGGAAGCGCCCCTGCTACACCACAGGCACTGGTAACCAAGTTCCAGGGTTCATTCAAATTCCAGGTGACATTCTACTTCCGGGACACTTTTCAACAACCGGTTGTTCCTTTTTGTTTCCAACAAACATCATTTGTCCTTACCTCTCCTCACTCTTTTCAGTTGCGTCGGTGGCCCAGTGGTTAGGCTACTTGACTCGTAATCGTAAGATTACGGGTTTGGGGGTTCGAGCCTCAGTTCGGTCCGACGTTTTGTCCCTGGGAAAGGCACTTTACTCGAATTTCCCACTTGGCTCGGTCCTTTCGGAGATGGACGTTAAACTCTTAGGTCCCGCCTCTTAAATAAAATAAGTGTGGATAGGGGCTTCAAACCTATACCATTTCACCAATAGTGTACGTTCTTTTCTTTGTGTGTTACTCTCTGGTAACACCTCTAATCTTCGGCACTCATCTCACCTATTTATTTTTGTGCAGCTAGTGCCATAAAACTCTTGCTAAAGCTGAAAGAATAAACAGCTGTCCAATAGAAGTGAGGCATGTTGAGATCACAGACGTGCACGTCCGTACGTCTGCCCGGGCTGCTTCCTTGGCTTGTTTCTCTTGTGGAGAACCGGCGTCTGTGGTGTAGCGGTGAGACGCGTGGCTATCACACGAAGGAGACCCGAGTTCGATTACCGAGTAGAGGATCGGAGAATGACGTTATGTTCGAATGTTCGGTCTCCCCAATCATCTCATGGTGTTGAAAAAGCACTGACACTCTTGATATAATATTTAAAGAATACGTTTTACCTTTACTTTGTTTCATGGCTCACACAATAGCGTGCGCCCCGTAACCTCTCAGTTACTTTCACGCTGCACTAGGGAGAGGATGGTATTTTTTAGCTCGGATCTTACTTTTTGTGAAGTTTTTCAAGGCTCTCAACCCAATTATTTAGCTCGGTCCTATAGGAGATAGACGTTAAATTCGGAGGTCCCATCTCTTAAATTTCGTAATAGTGTTGATAAGGGCAAGGGTGTTAAACTCATACACTTACTTTTTTGTGGGTACAAAATGGCATTAATGACGTCATGTGTTAATATGTGTATTTTGGTTTAGCTGAGTACCATGTATGAAAGAATGTTTCTTCTCTGGATATATTGTCAAGACGTGCTCCCATCTATACTCTTGATCTTTTTACTTCATTCCTCTCTCTCTCTCTCTCTCTCTCTCTCTCTCTCTC